TCCCGTACTTCTATCCACCTGCTCACCGAACTGCTGCATTTGTCAAATCCTTTATAATTCAAGCCGTCTCTTCTGGAACACCATCCTTCCCGATATCCCACAAGCACAATTAGTTTCCTAATTTAAATCTCTCCTTTTTAAGCATCTACTTCTTTCCCAATCCGATTGATCACGAATCGTAGATAAAAGATCTTTTTAAGTTCCACAGAAATGATTTTGTTCACATATGGTATTTTATTTTCCCATGTTTATTTATATCTGTTAGCTTTTAGTATTTTTTTCTTCTTTCAATATTTTAATTTTAATGAGATTTGTAAATATTTAATTTAATGTATGGCTGCACATGCATTTTTTCTGCATCTATAATTTGTCCTAAAGGGACAACAATCCCAAGGTAATAAAAAAAACTGTTTAATTTCATTTCATTTTTACCATCCTAAAGTAGTCAATCTTTTTAAGAAAACAGTGATTAAATTTAGTAAGGTCAAACCTTTTTAATTTAAAATTTCGTCTCGAATCACACCCCAGAGGTTGGTCATACGCATCCAATCCTTCCAGTCCAAAGTCCTTCGAACAATAGTCAATGCTCCATATTATGTCACGAACAAGACCCTACACCATGACCTTAACATCCCATATGTCCATGACATCATCCCATCCAGATTCTCCAACTTTCACCAGAACCTCATTCATCATCCCAATCCTCTAGCGCAATCCCTATCCAGCTCCGAGCATCCATACCATCCCCCTCGAAGGTTGAAACGGCAGTGGCCTCGAGATCTTTTGTAAATATGCCTATGGAGTCCTGGCAATGGCCAGCTTCTCCACTCATGTCCTGAGCGTCTGTGGCTGTATTGCCCTCTTTCAGTCTCCACTGGCTTCTAATACTAGTGATGCGACTGGAAAAGTGGCACTGGGATCTTCCGGAGTCTTGCTTTGCCTTCCGCGTGTGGAGGTAAAAGCCTGGCTCGGAGATTCTTGGGCAAATGTATATATTGTATATAGTTATGATTGTGTTTAGAAGTTTTTATTTTATTTTATTTATTTATTTTTTTTTTTTATTTATTTACCTTCTTCATCAGTATTATTTATTTACTTCTTATATTTATATTTATTTCTTTATTATTTGTATATATTGTATGAATGAGAACTTTTAGCCCTAATGCTTATAGCCCTCCAGCAGTGGCTGATTGTATTATTATTCAATAAATAGATTTCAAAGAAAAAAAAAAAAAAAAAAAAGAGGTTGGTCATTAAGAATTGAAACACTCTAAATGCATACATAGTTATATACACACGGATTTAAAAATATATCAATATAATTAAAACTGTTATAATAACATATTCCTTATAAGTACAGAATAAGAGATAGAAAAATCGAATTTTCTGCGGTTTTATAAGATTTTTTAAACTTTTAGTTGGGTCTATGGACAAACAATACAGTAGGATTTTTATCGTTTATTAACTACATCAGCAACTCTCACCGGAATCCACCTACAAGAGGTCAAGACACGTTGACCGAGCATGTTGGGCTAATCTTCAATCAAGGGACCTTTTCTAAATACCTTAGACTCTAAAGCCAATCTTTCACGGTCAATATTATTGAATCAATAATATAGAAGCAATATTCTTGAACGTTGTATCCATACAATGTCAATATAATTGTTACAATGTATCACTCAGATAGTCAATATATTCGATATTTACCGTGTAAAGTGGGCTTGAGGCTTAGAGTTTCGAGAAATGAAGATGGTGTATAATAATATTTAAAAGTTAATTAGTATAGGAAAGATAGCTAAAATAATAGGTAATGTTGCAAAAGGTGGAGCAATATTATATTATTATAGCTCTCTTGTTAAAAATCCGATAATCTGCGAAACAGACATTTACCATTTTTTATCAAATTAATGACACACCTAAAACTTCGAGAACGGCTTTACTTTATCGTGAATTACTCTTTTCTTATTTACGAAACTCCTCTGTAATGGTTGTTTTCAATCTGGAGATGGGCAAACTTCGTCAACTTAATTACGTACTTTTTTTATCCATATGTGATATAGGCAATGGTTATAGTGGGTTAAGGTTATATTCACACTATATGTATGCAGACAATATAATAAACAATAAACAGAAGAAAATAACAACTAAATAATAATAAAAAATTATATATAATAAATATAAATAAAATAACTTCAAGATAAGTAAATTAAAAAATAAAACTACACAGACATATCTATATTCACTATTCAAAATCAGTCGAAGGAACTCCAATTATATAGGGAAAACAGAACTCCAAGAGATCCCTGCGCTACTCTTTGGTCAGATACAAATTAGAAATAGGTATACAAATGTTTGCTAAATCCTGATGTAATTGTGGATTGTGATGTATGATGTATTATTGGAAGTGTGTGTGTGTTGATGTTCTTGACGAATATTGTGCAATGAACCGAAAGCTCCTTGTTAACGATAAAATAAAATGAGATTGAATTAAATGATTATTTTTCTATTGTTGATTTTTATTATTTTATTGTTATTGTTAATTTATAGTTATTGCTAATCCTATATAATTATATATTATTTTGTAGTGATTAATAAGTATGCTGTGTTTTTAGCAACTCAATGTGTTTTTAGCAACTCAATGTGCAGCACCATGTTATGATAATAATTCTCTCTCAAAGTGATTCTCTCTCAAGAATTATATATACAAAATACCTATTATTATACATAACTATATTACTTAAAATAGTGCAGTGGCTATAAATAAAATTTGTTTGTTTCCCACCATCTATCAAGAGACCGCAACTAAAGACCGTTAAACAAACGGGGCCAAATGACTTCTCATTTCGTTGGCCATTATTTGTCGAAAGCAATTTACTTCTGTTGACCCGACTCTTTTCCCGTTTTTCATCTTGAACGATTTCCATTTGAAACATACAAATAAAGAGTGTTTAAGTAGGAAACTGCATGTAGCTTCAATTAGAGCTATTTTAGGCTTCCTCACAGAAAGGAATTTTTTTATTAAAAAAATAAAGATCAGCATCTAAAATTTCCAATCCTAAAATAAAGTTAATTTTTATGCGACTTACGTTTTTTGTTAAATAGGAAGCGATGACATAAAAAATATTTGATTTAAGTAATTAAATATTGCTTCATAGTAAAGTAGACAAAATTTACTTTAAACGGAAGTAAAGTTTATCATTGTTAAAACTATTTGATGACGATTATTGAGCGGATAAACACAGCTAAATTCCGTTTAAAAAAAGTCATAAATTATTTCTGATATTTTTTATTATTCTTCTACTGTACTACATTTATCCTACTTTTAGAAAAAATTCCTAGTTTAATAAGCTTTAAGTTCATATTAATTAAGTTGAGGTTTATTAGAAAAAATTATGAGATTCATCTCAAGTTGTTTAAAGAAATTATGTGATTTTCTATCCGTTCACCTAGAAGTGAGAGCCATGTTTTCGGCAAAAATTACTACGATTCGTTGTTGCAAAGCTATTATTTATTATTTTTCTGTGTTATGAAATGTATTGTAATAAAAAGAATTGCCTAAAAGCACATTTTATTTATAAAAAAAAAAATTACAAATATTTTTCAAATATTTTTCATGTAAGGTGGTTATGAAATTGTGTTTTTCTCTAGTGTAAAGTAAATTTTATCTAGTTCAGTTTGGAGCAATGTTTAATTACTTTAAAATATTTTTTAAGTTTTCGCTTCCTATTCAAGAAAAACCGTGACTCACATAAAATAACACAAATCTTTAATAAGAAAGAATGCGTTTTTATTCAATAGAGCTGAATTATTTTCTAATGCTTTATTTATTGTGACTCCGAAAATCTATAGAAACACAAAAAAATGTAAATCTCTGAAGTTACCTTAAACGGTACATCTGGTTAAGAGTTAAGCAACACACGGAAAGAGAGCAATGGTTCAAGATGCTAATCTAAATTTTGATACGATTACGTTCGTCAAATTCATTTGTAAACTTTACAGAAGTAGGTAAAAATACATGGAGTTAACGATTTCCTGAAATCTTGATCACTTTATTTATTTATTTTAGTTGATACTTTTTTTTACTACTATTAATAATGTTCTTAGTTGAGACAGAATTAAATATAACTCAATGAAGAATTTAAAAAAAAACTAAGGTGTGTGATTTAGACCAAACGATAGAAGTGAAAACATCAATTAGTTGAGATTTATAATATGAAATATAAATTATAAATAACAACTCATTGTAAAGAGAATGAAGTACTGGACATTTCCCTCGCTTATAGTATGCAGGTCCAATTTTCAGTTTCTGAGATATTCTAATCCATATCTTCAATAAAACTCATTATTTTTTGGTTTTCGACATTATTTTCATGTTTTCGCCTTGCTAACTAGGTGTCCGGTTAAGATACAATTTTGAATAATAGGTCACTGCAAAGAGGATAAAATACTGACCATTTCCCTCCCTAACAATATGAAGATCCGATTTTTTTATTTTTTGAGATATTTTAATCTGTATGCGGAAGCAGATTATTCGACTCCAACCGACTTTACTCGAGCGTTACACATCGGAGATCTGACGGGCCAATCAAATTCACTCTCCACAAAAAAAAGTGCAAAACTTGCCTAAAGAAGTTTTCCCTTCAAAATACAATTTTTTCGCTGGTGCATTGCTAATAGCATTAATTTCATTAACTTCTTGAGCTGTGTTAACCTCGTTATTTTTAATTGAATCTTGGTTCATAATTATTGTTAGTAAAAGTTATTGTACTCAATATTGAATAAAGCTACCGAAACCGTTGTTCCAATTGACAAGTTCCATAGCTTGATACAAAAAAAAAAAAAAAATATCGGATACACAATTCAACTCATCGAGTGGAAGTCGACAAATGTGATATACTCAAAGTTGTAATGATATTAACAATTTTGAATTAAACAAGTCTTAATGAATTGTTAGAAGTATTATAGCTTTACGGAGACTACAGCTGGCGAAAATATTACAGTAAATATATTACAAATTATTTTGTGTTAGAGTATAAATCTAGCGATCGGATACAATCAAAGTAAGTAGTATTCCTCTAAATTAATATAAATTGAAATCTGGCTTTAAAAGAAAAATAGATAAATAACAGTTTTGGCTACTTCATGCAATCGAAATAGATAATTGAATTTCCTAATTTAATTACATGTGACAATCTAAACATGAAAGGTGTTTTTAAAACAAATGTTTAAAAAAATAATATCTCAAAAACCAATATTAATATTAAGAGCGAAGTAATTTACGGCATACAAACTTCAAGATGTTCGAAATTAAACTGAAAACAGAAACTGAACACCTATATTTATCTACCAAAGCTTATATGGATCTGCGCTTCTCAAATATACAAAACAGCCAAAACGATCCATAAACGAAAACTACAAACCTGTCAGCCAAAAACTTTTAGGACTATAACTAACGCTCCATGGTACGTCACAAACATTACTTTACATAAAGATCTTAACAAGCCTACTGTTAACGACTATATATGGACTACAAAAAACTTCACAATAACTATACTAACACACTGATACAAGACATTGTCACGATTAACATGCCCTAAAACTCGTTTCAGAAGTTCAATAGAAGCTAGATGAGGGATTTCCTCAACTAAAAACATACATAATTCAAGTCAAGAAGGGATGCCGCTGGGCACTCCTTTCCTTCACGCTAATCAAGCAACTATTAGTATTTTAGTGACAGCATACTCGCTAATTGTCAATACTTCTGACATATGTGAGCAAAAAAAAGAGTTTAAAAAAATAATACTAAATATTATTAATATTACATGAACACTAATTTTTAAATATTATTTTTTGTAAATACAGAACACTTCGTTGCGGAGGTACGCCTATGTATGCTAAATGTTTAATTAGGGAAATAATGACATCATACTTTTAGTACGAATTTACCTACTTCATTTGCAAGTTTTTTTTTCTTTTCCCACACTAATATTCAATAAGAAATCAAGTATATATTTTTTTGGCATTTAGCACAGTAGATTCAATTTTCCGCTTTCCCATTGTTTTTACATTACCGCCATGAGTTTTGCATTACTTTTCTTTAGTTGTGTATTGAGCTAGCCGACTACATTTCTTTCTTCATGGTTTGTTTTACAAGCTTTTTATTCCGTCCCATTATTTTATTTTATACAAGCAAAGAATTGGAGTTAAGCTGTCTCTCGAAGGCTTCATGTTATCGCAGAAAATTACAGTATTTTTTTTTCTTCAAATAAAATCACAGCTTTCCACCAAAACGGTTTGATCAAGACCTTTCTATATTTTCAAAACTTTCTCGAAATCTTTCTTACAGTTCTACAAATGCATAAAATGTTATGAATTTTAAAAAAGTGTTGTTACATTGAAAGCTGTTTCAATCAACTAGCTCTTCTGAGATATGTATTTCAAGATGTATTTTATAATTTGAATGCTAACCTGATTGATTATTCTAGAAGAAAGAATTCATTACAAGGAAGAAATATAAAATCCAAAATATGTAATTATTTTTTACAATCATCGTACACCTTTGAGACTAATAGTATTGATATCAATAATTAGTTTGAGAAACCCAAATAAAATTTTAAAAATACACAAAATTTTAATAAATACAACTTATGGAACATTAAAAAAACTGCAATAAATCTAAATAACCTGAAAATAGATTGATTGATTTAAACCCCATAAATTAGTAGTCATGAGATAACGAGTAGCTTTTGGTCATAAATCTGTGTTTGTGCATATTGATCATTCATTTATTTTTTTTTTTTTTGTCCATTTTATTGTTTTCATGCTTGAGATGGTCATGTAAAATGAAAAATAATGATTTCAGAATAAAATGAGATTTGTTGTGGCTGTTGGGAGAACGATGAATCAAAAAAATAAAATAAAATAAAAAATAAAGGTAGTTCGTTACATGTTATGTGTACAGATGAGAAACGATAGAATATAATATTGGATATTTAAAAATAAATTTATAAACCTCTATGTTTAAACAGTTGTAGTATGGTTTATTATTATTATTTTTTTTTGTGATGGAAACACTTGAAAATATCTGCACAAAATAACTAGATATATTAAAATTGGTATACATAAACAAAGCGGAAGGGGGATAGCCTTCATAACACAGGCCATTTCTAGAACTTTTTCTGCTAAAAATGAATTGTGTTAAAAACTGAAAAATAGTTTTGATTCTTACTTTGTTCAATCTTCAAATAAAAATAAAACGTTTTCAAAGTCTGACTAGTTGTGTAAAAATGCCTACAAACAAATTATCTATAATATATATTTATAATTGTACTTATTGGATATATTTTTCCAAATTTATCACAGAACATAAATTTTCAAAAGAACTAGGTATTTATAGCATAACTTGATTCCATCTTTCTCTCTTTCTTATATTATTATATGATCGTGGACCTCAGCTGGTGTATAACAGTGCTGCGGTCGGTGCAGTGTATTTTTAATTTAAGGCAGGAATACTTTCTATAATGCATTCGACAAATGGAAGATGAATGCATCGAAGAAAGCTTGATATTGTTATGTGACAGATTGGGGTAGTTATGAAACAAATATATTCACTATGATACTATTGAATCGAAACTTTCAATTCAACAATACCTTTCTTTTCCTACTCATCCACCATACTTCGCTACGGAATCATTTGTACTTAAATTTATGTGTTGTTTGTTTGTTTCGATGTCTAGGCGCAAAACATCCAGGTCATAAGCGCCCGATCAACTAAATAACATCACTTAATACTATTTGGATGGTTGGTACAAAAAATAAAAATAAAAAAAAAAGGACAAAAAAAATAAAGAAATGGATTGATAGAATAAAATAAATAAATAAGGATAATAATAGACATTTATAGGTAATAAGATGTATAAAAAATGTATAAATAAATAAACTTTAAAAAATAGCAGTAGAATCAATAAAAAAAAATAAAAAAAAAAAAAAAAAAAAAGAAAAAAAAAAGAGAGAAAATATAATAAAAATAAATAGATAAAAAGGAAATTAATAAATTTTAAAAAAAAGTCTGTCAAATGTGTTTTTTAAGTCTTTCACTATCCATAAACTTGATGACTTTGGTAACCATTTCTTCCTGATTTCCCAGGGACGCTGATATATTCCGGGGTATTCCAAAATCTTTTAATCTTGCGGTGTAAAAAGGGCATTCCTCCAAAATATGTCTTATAGTTAGTGATTGGTTACACTTTTGACATCGAGGGATAGAATCTTTTGTTATGAGGTGGAGGTGAGTCAGTCTAGTATGTCCGATCCTCAGCCGCGTGAGGACGACCTCTTCTCTACGACTGCTGCGTTTGGAGCTGGTCCACGGCTGCACCTCTTTCTTTATTGTTTTTAATTTGCTAGGTGCGCTGTTGTCCCACCGTCTTTGCCATTCTTGGAATATGGTTTCTCTCAGAGGTCGTGCAAGTTCAGATGGTGTCAAAAAAACTTTACCGCGGCCTGGAAGAGTAAGAGCCTCCTTTGCTGCTCTATCAAATTTATTATCAAATTTATCTATCAAATTTATGTGTTTAAGTATAATTTATAACTTACAATTAGTAAAATTATGAAAGTGTCATTACAATATGACCATTCCGTTGAACAATTAAAAATGATTAGGAATTTATGTAAGTTGTATTATGGTAGTTTAAAAAGACGTGTATATATTTAGAGGACATCAGTAGTAACTTTATTTTTTTATTTCTTAATGACATTTATACTGTATTACATCAATACATCAAGTAAATTTGGACATAATAGATATAATGATATGAATACACTTGCTAAGTAACTACCCAATGGTAGCACTCTAATGATATGACTACATTAGGAGATCACGGGGCCATCTTCTTTTCAGACGCCTCGGAGGGTTATCAAAACAGGAAGCAAGGTTAGAAACGAGAGGGTTAGGATGATTCTGAAGTTTATTATGGAAGGATAGGTATCTAGATTGGGCCAGATCTGAAACATAAGGAACATTAACATCTTTATGGATAATTTTATTAGTGACAAAGTAAGGAGCATAGAGGATTTTACGAAGGATTTTGGATTGTAAGGATTGGATGTGAGAGGAATTCGATGGTTTAGTGGAGCCCCATAGCTCAACTCCGCAAGTCCAAATAGGTCTTATTATAGTCAAGTATATGAGTCTTTTGTAATTAATGGGAAGTTTAGAGCGTTTGTCTAGTAAGTGCTGAAGTAATCGGAAACGTCGAGCTGTTTCTTGTCGTTTCAGTCTAGTATGGGGATTCCAAGTTAGTCGCTTGTCCAGGTGGAGTCCTAGGTATCGGATTTGCTCAACAGGGATTGATGCTGGAGTATTGTTAAAGGAAACTATAGGACTATAGGACAGGCAGTCGTTGGTTTACGACGAAGTAGTAACTTAAATTAAGAATAGGTACTCCGACTTCAAGAGAAAGAAGCTATACGCGTTCGCAGTGAAATAAGTGAAATATGCTCACAATACCTCATCCATCTTTAGCTAGAGAGATAATATATATAATATGTATTTAAAACATATAACCTAAATAAAATCAAACCCAGGGCCAGATTGGGCCCTCTTTAATATCCAGACCTGTTGCCCCGCTTCCTCTATCATCTCCTCTGTTATACTCGTACTTGTTATACGCATATCAACCAATACAACGACATTTCTCACAATACATTACTTTAACAATTAAATATATTTTACGTGTTTCTTTAGATGATCGACGAAGTAACCGTGCCCCTTTTGGGGACGCTGGAAACAGATCCGGACGCCATTCCACGTGGATTCATACACAGAGACCCGGATATCCTCAACATACATCAGCAGAACACGCTCACCGAAATGAAGGTCAAAATGATGGATTTCAATACCGAATACCTAGCCAAGCATCCTCAGGTCTGTAGGATAATGTAGACATAAATATAAATAAAATAAATGTAGATATAATAGTCATTCAATAAAATAATTGCTAATTATTCCTAACAGGTTGAGGCCTTAGTCCGATTACTGATAAAAGAAATCGTCATTCACAAACCATACTACGTTAGAGAATTCATTAAGGAAATACTGTCTCGAGATGATCTGGAAACCACTGTTGCAAAGATAGTTGCCGCCAAAGGATTAAGTAAAATATTCTAATACTTAGTTACTTACTACTTAGCTCTATGGCCTTGGCTACCCTGACAACATTGCACCAGTCCTCTCTGCACAACGCAAAAATAGATAATAATATATATCTTAACATTTGCCGACGTTTCGACCTGAAGTTCAGGCCTTCATCAGGGCTAAGGAAAGAACCAGATAACAAGGTATGAGAATCACAAACAATGTAGATAAAAAATATTAAACTAAAATGACGTGGGTCGATTAATGACAATAAAATTTTACTTTATTTCTGACTGATTACCACAACCATCCTTCTGTTCATTATTCACGACAGTCAACCGTCAACCCACAATTATTCTATATCTTTTTGTATCTTGTTCGTTCTACCCCTGGAGAAGACTTGCAAAGTCGGGTCAAAACGTTGACTCGAAATAAAATATTTTTTTCATTATTTTAGTCTTTTTATGATTGTCACCTCTGACCACCTCATTTATCCAAAATATATAACGGTCAACCATCAAGTATTCAATATTATTATATTAGCCGAGTAGGCTGTACAAAAAAATTGGATTAATCTATTTTCGTATGCAAAGCTACGGTTGGTTCTCAAAATAAATGTATTGGCATCTCCAGTTCCTTATACCCAGATACCGAGAAGAGACTTGCAGTACCTTTCAAAAAACAGGCTAAACGGCCTCAGAGGTTCGGACTCAAGAGGCTCTGAAACGTAAAGATCCGTCGAAAACCGCATATCGGAAATTTGACCCGTTTGCAATATTTCCCTTACCTAATATATGTAGTTAAGTACTGAATTAAAATATAAAATAGAATATGGTGTATCATCGCTAATACTGGTTCGATTCCGAGTATTTTTTTGTTTTGTTGGTAATTTAATTACCAGTGCCAGCAGTATTAGAATTAAAAGAATTCTTGATAATTTAATTGTTGTGTCCCGTTCCATGCTTTCCTCTTCTTATCGTGTTCAAAAGTTCGACCAAAATGAAACTCCACAAAAATATGGTTCCCTTTAAAAGCTCATAATCCCGTTAAAATATGCTTCCTTTTAAAAATTCATATTCTCGTAAAAAATGTGTCAACCCCACAAATTTTGATGGTGGTGCCTCTATTTTTTTGTCTTCTTCAAGAGAGAGAGAAAAGAAAACTTTTATGACTAATAATATTTGAAACCATGCCAATTCCACTATGCCTATCTATCTAAGAAGTGCGAAAAAACAGTAATCAGCCCATAACTCCTTGTCTACATATAACTATTCAGTTATATGTTAATAATGAATTCGCACTAGTAATGAATTCACAACATACAATCTTGTTAATATTGTCTTATCTGTCCAAAAAGCATATGTAGCAGCTATAAGAGGTACAAATAAGATTCTATCGACTTATCAGATATTTTAGTTATATTTTTAAGTGTAGTATACAGGTAGATGGATGGGAAAGTTATCTAAGAATATGATGATATTTCTTTATTTTAATTGATATTTTCATTATCAAATGATGAGATACGAACAGGCGTCATACAAGGCACTACTTTTCGCACACGAAGACCTGGCAAGACAAGGCCGCAGGCGTAGACGAACCTGAGCTGGAGATAGAAGAACCTTACTGGCCAGAGCCTCGACCGTTCAGGGTCGAATCGCGCCGCGACAAGAGAGAGTACTGCCACCCACACTACTTCAAGGTATCTAACTCTTTACTTATTTGCTAAATTAATGGAACTAATTTAGTAGAGTAAAAGTTAGCTACAAACAGAAACGAGTACGGGATATTTCTACTTGACAAATTATACATAAATGGACGGAGTAATCTTAATGAAGGGGAAGGATAAATTTATCTGATTTTTTCCCCCGTTCAATGGTATCTTAGGGACAGACACTAGCGAATCTAATTTTGGGGGGGCTTCAGCCCGAAAGATTTTTTTTCATATATATAACGATGATTAATTAAAAAAAAAAAAAAGAGCTACTGTATGAAATGTTTTTTAAGTGGCTTTTGAACTCCTATTTAATGTAATTAGAATACGAACAAGGTATTACAATGAAGGTACGAACAATAATACCTTAAGAGATAGTTTATAATATTTTTTTCTATAAAACACGGTTATATTTTACCGTTTGTGGGGGGGGGGGGGAGGGCTTCAGCCCGAAAGCCCTCGCCAACCGTAAATCCACCTGTGGGGACAGAGTATGGCTTAGGATAATTCTTTTCGAATGGTGACTGAAAATTCCAACGTAGACCACATTCCTTCAAGAATACCAAAGCCGAGACTACAGACACAACCGAGAAACTCGAGGTCCTGAGAACTTATTGTCACTAGAGAATGCTCCTAGAGGAGATGAGATATCGCGGGTTCCCATCAATCAGACCTGACGAAACCTCAACCGTTTGAAGAATCCGTTAGCAAGCTTCACCGTAACGCGATGATTGCAAAGTAACAGAGTGAATTGATCATTGAACAACACTAAATATAATACGAGAAATTCCTTTTTTGAATGAGTCAAGCGAATAGAAATTATTTTCCGACAATGTTGGGCTATTGCAAAGTTTTTAAAGAGCTTTTTTAACAGACCTAAACCTTAAAACTTACAGCTAACCTGTAACAACTCATTAAGTCCTTTAAAATAACACGAACCCTATTTATTATATCGACCGTACGCAATAAAATCATTGTGATTCCATATGTTTTCGAAAACCAGATTAATTTAATTTCAAAGTAAGTCTGTATATTTAATCTACAAATGAGTATGGACTGTACAAAGATTAGTCATTAAACTCTTTTTTTTTCTACTATTAAGTTTACTAAAATGGAGTTGCAAGATTTTCATTGCCTACAATCTATAGGTCAAAAGATTTCACACTAATTTTAAGTGAATAATGTTGTGATTCCATATAGGGATATACTTTTAATCATGCAGAGATCCATCAAGTAATCAAAATCGTTAGAGCCGTTTTCAATAAAATTATTATAAGGTGGAAAATAGATGATATTATTGAAGTGGATTGTGCAGTGATAGCGAGGTTACTGTGATTAATTGCGATCTACTAAAGAGCTATCTTTTGAGGCAGTGTTTTGTGTTTTCGTTTTGTTCTAATTGTTCATAGCCATCTTATTGTTTTCTAGTGTTTTATCATGTTTTTTATTGTTGTTATTAGTTGTAAGTGTAAATAGTGTACATAGATTGAAGTTTGGACAGGAGTGGTTAAGTCGTATAAATTTCGTGAAGGAGTTCTTGTTTGAAAAATTTGAGTTCCGAGTGTTATATTGAGTAGAAGATCTCTAAAAGACCTTCCCAGGGAGCACAAAGAAATTAACTTTACTGAATCTGTGTAAAAAAAATAAATTGTAAGTATAACCTGTTTATGTGATAAGAAATATTATTACTGTTACTATTTAAGTATTAAGTGTCTACTCTTTAAAGACTTGTCCAGGAGTAATATTATAGACAACATGGAGGAGATGAAAGGGAAGAAGGGGACCCTCCAAGGGTTTCACGTTCAACCGCAAAAAGGGCGAGAAAGGTTTCTCTTGTGATAACGCAGAAGCTTCTGAGGTAGGAATCTCAAATGACTTCCTTCAAAAAGCAAAGATAATTCAAGAAAACCTCCGAATATACCTACTAAAGCTGACAAAAGTATTAAAAATAAAGACCAAAACCACATTAATGGCAAAATACAGTGGTTCATTGACGCTATTGAATCGTTGGAGGAAAGGACAAAGCAGTACAAAGATAAGAGTGAGGGTTATCTTTACTTGTCCATAAAGCGGTTCAGGAAACACTTACCTCGCCTTCAGTACATTCGATGATAACCAGCATCGTAATAGAGAAAACAGTGCCGAAGGTTATAGAATCTCTCTCAGGAACCACTATGAAATCTAATGGTCCCCTCGCCATCCCTGGAAAAAGCAACGAAAAGTCATCCGCGACTAACGTGACCCCGCCTGAGCCTTTACCAGCCGCAGTTCCTTTTACAGTCGTTAAGAGCAAAAGAAACAGGAAAAAGACTAAAAAGTCTACCGGTCCCGAAAGCCTACAAACTGAAAATGAAACGCATAAGACAGAGGCGGAATCTTTGACTGGGTCCGGTCCAAATCAGCCGAAGTCATTGGCCGAAATAGTACGAAAATTGCCTTTAAAACCTACTCAGTCCCTCAAGCCGGCGTTTATTACTATTAGCGGTACCGGTAAGAGTCCGGTGGACATTATCAATGCCCTGCCTTCCCCCACAGAAATAGGTGTTAAGGCTGAAATTGTTCGAGCAACCAAAGGTGGTTCCGTTTTAGTCCGATTAGAAGACAGTACCCATGCCACTAAAATAATTGGTTGGCAGGGGTTACGGGAGAAAGGTTTTCAGGCAAAACTAGCACAAAGAAAGAAACCTAAGATTGAGGTGAGGGGTGTCCCTCACTCATGGGGCTCAGCTGAATTAACGAGATTTTTGTGGGGAAGAATAAACGAGAAGTCAGTCCCTACTACACTCATTAATGATGATATACGGCCATTATTATCCTCAGTATCTAGAAATGGACTAAGTAGGAACTGGGTACTCGAAGTTCACCCAATGGTGAGGTTCCAGCTGTTGGAAATGGCAGCTTTAGATGGAGGATGGTGGTCCATGACGTTTAAGGATTACCTCGACGCCCCTCGTTGCACAAAGTGCCAAGGCTATGGACACACGAAGGCTACCTGTACGGTGGATACCGTTGTATGCATATGGTGTGCAGCCAATGGACACATACTCAAGGACTGTCCAAGGAAGAAGGAACAAACTGGCCCGACTTGTATTAACTGTGTGCGGGCGAGTGCACCGCAAAGCCAAACGAAGCATAAAGCGGGCAGCCGAGAGTGCCCTGTACACTTAAGATGGTCAAATGAGGTGGCTAAGAGGACCTACTATGAATAATATCACCATTCTCCAGCTCAACATGGGCCGTCGTCGCATCGTAGCGGATGAGTTAGGGCTCTTGTTGGACGTTATGATGTTATGGCGATTCAAGAACCGAGCTGCCGTGGGAACATGGTCACGGGGTTCGGCCTCACATCGAGGGTTATAGCCTGAGCAGTGGAGAGAGGAGGCCCAGGGCAGCTATAGTGGTAAATAACCCAAACCTCGATGTGATGGATCTGAGGCAGTTTACCACGGCGGATTGTGTCGCATGTTATATCAAATGGGGTAATATTACCTTTACGTTGGTTTCATCATATCTTCCTGACGGAGGTGATATAGACAACGACATATCCGCCATGGAGATGATCACGGCTTGCTATAGAAACATCATCATCTGCTCAGATACCAACTCCTGGAACACGGTCTGGGGATCCAATCAAACGAAAGAAGAGGCGTTAACTCGGAGAATTCATTGGCCGAAGCCAGCTAGTGGTAATGAATGATCCCTCTGCCTTGCCAACGTTTTCTAGCGCTCGAGGGCAGAGCTGGATTGATGTAACACTGGCATCACCGGTGTTAGCGAGTCGCATCAACGATTGGATCCTCCGATCTGAAACGAGTTCCGACCACCAAGCGATAGCTTTTAAGCTGGTGGAAAATATGGAAAGTTCCCACGGCATCGCTATGGGTTATTTAACCCGAAGGGCAAATTGGAAAGCCTTCCGGTCAACGCTGGAGGAAAAATTAGTAGATGAAGAATGGGATGAAGCGGAGACGGACCAGACAGATAGTCTAGATTATAGGGTCTCTAGGATCACAGATGTCATCCGTGACGCCGCTGAGGAATCCCTCCAGCAACGGAAGGTGAGAGCTCGACCTATCCCATGGTGGACGCCGGCCTTAACTGCTATGAAGAGAGAGCTCTACAAGGCCCGGCGGTCCTATCAAAAGTGTGGTAGTGAGGAGAGGCGCGCCACACTTCGCGACGAGTATAGGTCCAAGTCCAGAGCATACCGAAACGAAGTGCGCTCTCGAAAAAGGAAGTCTTGGGACGAGTTCATTATTGAAGAATCGTCCAAGAACCCCTGGGGTATCCCTTACAGAGTTGCCTTGGGTAAGTTAAATCCACAACAGGTAATAGCCGCATTGAAACGCGGAGCTACTCAGGCAACCACTCTGGAGGAGACGGCAAAAACGTTCATTGCGGAAACCTACCCCAGGGATGATCCGTCCCAAGATAATGAAGAGGAGAGATACATTAGACGCACTACGGTATGCCCACCAGGTACGGACCTATGCCCACCATGGGACATATGGGATCTCCGTGCTGCCGTGGATAGGCAAAGGACTGGTCGAGCTCCTGGCTTGGATTCGATAGACACAGCAATACTAAGGAATAGTATCCCCTACATTGAACAAAGGCTGTTAGCATTGTTCAATGATTGCCTAGACAGGGGTTACTTCCCTAAAATATGGAAGATTGCTGATGTTAGACTCCTTTATAAGGGAGGAGATAAGGACAAGCAGTTAGCGAAGTCATATAGGCCTATATGTCTCCTTCCTATAATGAGTAAATTGTTGGAGACCTTGCTGATGAGGAGTCTACGACCAGTCTTCTTAAGCTAGCCATCCACGACAGTACGGATGTACTAAAGGTAGGGGAACCGCAGATGCTCTGCTCAGGGTGCGCCGTGACGTTGAAGAGAAGGCGGAGAAGTATGTAATGCTTCTCCTGTTTGATATATCCTCCGCCTTCGATAGCGTTTGGTGGCCGAGTGTACTCCAGCAGTTGCAAAAGTATGAAGCTCCCAGCAACCTGTACGACCTCTTAAGAAGCTATCTAGAAGACCGCAAATTAATGATAAAAGGTAACTTCTTTGCTGTAGAGGATTCTGTAGAAAGAGGATGCCCACAAGGATCTGTACTAGGTCCAGCCTTGTGGAAACTGGTATTTGACGAGCTGCTGGGAGTACTGGAAGAGCAGCGGTTCCCCGCCACTGCTTACGTAGACGATCTCGCAGTCGTGGTGGCATCGAACAGCAGAGCCAGATTAAAGGAAGAGGCTGAACGGTGCGCCAACCTTGTAGGAGAATGGTGCGAGAGAAAGAAGATGAAGATGGCGGCTTCAAAGACTCAGTCCGTTCTTTTGAGGGATAAGACTGACAGGGCCCACCCTATCACTCTGAATATACAGAGAGAAACGATACGTCCAAGTGAGGCGGTCACCTATCTTGGGATAAGGACTGGAAGAAAGTTTAACTTCACCCCTCACTTGGACTATCTGAGAAGTAGAGTGGCCCTGGCTCTTAATGGACTGAGTCGCATCGGGGGGCCTTTTGGGGTCTCAGATACCCAGCCACTTTGGCTATTTATAACGGAGTTATCTTGGGTATCCTGAGATATGCGTCCCCTGCGTGGAGTCAGACTCTCTCGCACCAACAGAAGAAAAGGTTGGCGACGATCCAGCGTATGGCTCTGCTGCGTGTCACTAGGGCGTACCGGTCAGTATCTCATGAGGCGGTACAAGTCTTAGCCGGAAGTATTCCAATTGATCTTCAACTTCGTGAAGACTACTTTCGGCACGAAATGAAGAGAGATGGCTTGGTGGATCTACCGGCTAATCTCCGAGTGAGGATCAGTGAAGACCCAAGCAGATGGAAGAGGATTCTCCGGGAATGCACATTAGAAGAATGGAACCGGCGTTGGGTGACAACGCCAAAAGGATCAACCCTAAGGAAATACTTCCCCACCGTCGGTTCAAGAATGGAAACTACATGGCTCCTCCCGGACTATTGGGTCTCGCAATTCCTCACGGGGCATGGGGGATTCCGAGCAAAGCTTGTTCAACATGGTAAGAACATTGATCCCCTATGCCCAAGTTGTAGGGTACCGGAGACCGCCGAGCACGTCTTATTAGCCTGTACCGCCTATGAGGCATTGAGGGCTAAGTTGCTGAGGGAGACTGGGCTCTATGTCTTATCAGAGCGCGATCTACCTCAGCTAGTGACCAGAGAGAACTACCCGCACTACAAGGCCTTTGTGTACGGGTGGAAAGACATCATTGGCCCAGCCCACTTCTATTTGGGTAGAAGAGAAGAAGCTCCACCACAGAGGATGGAAGAGCCAAGCTAAACAGAAAATCTTATTGTATCGATTGCAGTATTGGCTAGTTATGCACACACGTCTAGCTATCCAATACTGCAAACACTCGTATTGCCAAACTGGCAGGGCAGAGATTTAAATAAATAAATAAAAGATGATATTATTGATAAGTATTATCAAGACAGTCACACAGTATCAGACAGAGACAGTATCATACAGTATCATACAGACAATAAATCCGTATTGTTAGAAAATATTAAGCTTTTAGCACAATAATTTTACCAAAGTCGATTGATTTTTGGGTACGCACCATTGTAATATCAAGTAATCAAAATCGTTAGAGCCGTTTTCAATAAAATTATAATAAGGTGGAAAATAGATGATATTATTGATAAGTATTATCAAGACAGTCACACAGTATCAGCGCCCATATTTACAAGCAGACAATAAATCCGTATTGTTAGAAAATATTAAGCTTTTACCACAATAATTTTACCAAAGTCGATTGATTTTTGGGTACGCACCATTGTACTTCGATTAAAAATAGGCCATTTATAAACGAGTACTTTGTTATATAGACGATTTACTATTGCATATTTTTACATAATTTACAATTGCTTCGAGTGTATACCTTTGTGGAATATTTTTTTTTTTATTTTTACTGTATATTAAAAATAAAAAGTATTAAATTTATTTGTAAAAAATAAACACTGAGAAAAAAACAAACGATACTGTTCACATAAAAATAAAATATTGACTATTTTGTAGCAGAAAATGCTTCGTTCTCTTTTGTTTATGATTTGGGTGTTGATGTTTTTTTTTAATAATCTATTTTTCTATTGATGGATTTAACGAGCCTTTTTGAGATTGAAATTCAGGTTAAGATTGTTATGTAAATGTATTCTTGTATGTAGGGCTTATTTAATTTGGATTGCAACTTATATTTTTTGGTATGACATGGGTAATTGTAGATAATTTTTAGGCATTTTTTTTGGAATACTTGTAGTATTTTCATGTTGCATTAGTGCAGCCCCATGTAGGAGAAGGCGTATGTTAAGATTGGTCTTGTCACTGACTCATACAGCATTAATTTGTTTCGGGATGGAATTTTTGATTTAATATAAGTATAAATAATATAATTAAAAACTATATATACAATTAAAACAATTAATTAACTTTCTTTTTCACCCATCGAATCAGTTTAATTCATACGGTTGCATCAGTTTTTCATTTTCTTTTAAGACTGCATATGGATTCTAACAATTATATCCACTGGGTAAAGTGGATCATTTGGAAAAAATCTGATCTTTATTCGAAACATTTAAAGCAAAATATGTTTTTAAAAAATAGTACATAGTATAAACTGTAAGTATTAGTAGATTCTTAATATTACGCGAGAAAATCTTTTATGAAAATCATGGCTAAGTGAAATATAATAGATGTCACTAAAAAAAAACAACTCAAAATTTAATAAAAATATTCTAGATAACATATTTCGCAATACCATTATATTATCTCAAATTATTGAATGAATGGACTTTAAAACAATCAAAAATTGAAATAAAATAGTTTTTACTTAAGCTAAAAAAAAAAATCTATCGAAGTGTCCAACTCTCTAAATTTTAAAGCAGTCTTTTCTCTCCCAAATTCCAACCAGTTATGGATCAAGCGTTCACTCTATAAGACGATATAAAGAGTCTAAGTAGATCACTAATTTTTCAACCAAAAACCTATGTTCAAACTATTGAATGCTTCCTCAACAAAATGCATCAACAAATATTTTCAAAAGATATTATTAGAACACCTAACACATTATAGGAACAATGTAATAAGTGTAAATAAATATAAATTCTTGATTCCTTATTTTTTTCCTCTCATTAAATGTGTATCCACACTCGCCATGGTATTGACAATCAGCAGATGTGTTGTGATAAATAAGGATTGACATTATAGGCATGTGGAAGGATATGACCCAGTTACACCTAGTCATTATTTACTTCCTTGATTTAGGTGAAGAGATATCTCATCCAGCTCCCTTTTTATACCTATACCTGCTGATTACCTGAATAATAAATAATTTTTTTTTTTTTTTTTTTTCCTTTTTCTCGCCTCTACCCTAAAGGGTCATTGGCGTTTTCTATGATTTATACTCTGTTATAGTAGTTAACAATTTTTAAAAAATTTAACACTATCGAGACTCTTTCTTCATTGTCTTTTAGTATTTCTTTTAGTGTTTTTCCTAATTCTATTTTTTCTCTGAGCCTTTCGAATTGGGAACATTCTACTAGAAGGTGTTTCACAGTTTGCGGTGTATTGTCACATTTCTCGCAAGTAGGAGCTTCTAGGCCTCTTAAAAGATAGCCATGAGTGAACTGGCAGTGCCCAATCCTTAGGCGGCATAGTATAATTTCTTCACGCCTAGACTTTCTGTTGCTAGTGAGCCATTTATCGCAATTGGGTTTCACTTCTTTCAGCTTACACTCTTTGATCCTCCACTCTTTTTCCCACTCTGCCAGTTGTTTTTTCTTTATTTCGTGTACCCAGTCTTCTAAAGTGATATATTTCATTCTAGTCACTTCCTCTTCTTCTCCTCCACTTCTTGCTAAATGGGCTGCATTGTCAGCATTTTCATTTCCTAAAATTCCGCAATGAGCTGGTACCCATACCAATACAACTGTTATTCCTTTATTTTTTAGATCCCACCAGATATTGAGTATTTCCCTAATTATGGAGTTTTTAGGATATGGATTGTCAATGGCAGTTAAAACGCTGTATGAGTCCGTCACAATTACCCAGTAGTTCTTTTCAGTTTCGCTTATAAGATATAAAGCATTCATGATGGCAGTGGCCTCTCCTGTGAATACTGAACATTCTCCAGGTAATTTAAACAGTAATTGTTTCTCTTTACTCGCTAAAGCACATCCTACGCTACCTCCTTCTTTGGATGCATCCGTATATATAAAATCGAAATTTTTATATTGTTCCGTTAGCTTTAAAAAATATTTTTGTATTTCAAGCGGATATGCCTTTGCAATTTCAGTCATAGACTTATTAATAAATGGTCTATCTTTTTTCCAACGCGGCATTTTTAATTCTGGGATGGGTCTTATAATGGTCGTATCCATGTTTATTTTAGTTGTTGCATTGTAAATTGCTTGTTTAAAGATGTTATTTTCTATATTTCTAAGTCCGTTTCTTTCTGATTCTTCTGAAAATAAATATGGAGTTAATGGGTGGTAGGAAGATGCTTTCAATTTGGCAATGTATTTCAGAGATAGGTATTCTCGTCTCAAGTTTAAGGATGTTTCTCCAGTAATAAATAATTAAAAAGTAAGTTTTGAATAATTATTAAATACAATAATTTTTGATGTTTTAGGTACCCTACGTATTCTTCCCTGCAGAGTATCTGAAACCCAAGCAACCTGTCTTTAAATCAAGGAAATATCCTTGCTTCCGCAGCAGGTCATATGCCAGATTACTCCTCCAGAATTACAAAGATGTCTGGGGCGATCCCATAACGGACATCCCGCCGCCGCTTAACGATGAAGAACTGTACGACGCGTGTTTGCTGTTAAAGAAGAAGCCGGAGAAGGATATGACCAACGAAGAACTCATTAAATGTTGTTTGCGTTGTCGAAGAACCAGGGTGAGAATGTACATATACTAAGTGATAAGTGGTTCCTGATTTATTTTTTCAAAGATAATTAGCGTTAAAGAAGATTGTTGGGGACGGAGCAACGTCATGAGAGTGGAGGTACGATAACGTGAAGGTCACACTGTTGATTTTCTTGTACTTATTAGCTTAGTTGGTTCCAGCTTCGAAACTTCTATTCAAGAAATATCTGTATGTTTTTTCATTCACTCTGTCGCATCTTAGTTTTGTTTTATTTATTGAGCAGCATAATATTCTCTCACTTAGGCAAAAATTATAATGAGGTAAGACTACATTCACACCGTATATACAGAAAATTATATAGAAGGAATTATCTATGGAGAATTTCGGAGAGCATAATATATGAAATCTGATGCAGGGACACTCCAGAATTATCCTCTTCTCCAAACCTGGTAAACCTGTTAATAATACCTCATCCCATAGACCAATCAATAAGCTTGCTCCCGATCCTCTCAAAAATCTTTAAGAAATCCTTCTCAAAAGTATCCTACTCATAATCGAATCTCACAATATCCCTTTCCATTATTTAGGATTCCACTCAAGATATTCCACTGTCCAACAAGGCCTTCGGGTTGTTGACCGTAAATCCTCTGCACTTGTAAACAAGCAATATTGCATTGGCGCCTTACTGGACGATGCAAGCTTTCGACCTGATGAGACGATGCTAAAATTCATCTAGATCTAGAGGCTTGAATTGTGTAGAATAAACTTAAATTGTCGAACATCAAACGCAACAAATCCTTCCAATCTAAAGTCCTTAGTACAATAGTCAGTGCTCCTTATTATGTTGCAAACAAAACCTAACATCATCACCTTAACATCCCTTATGACCTTGACTTTATTCCAACCCTATTCTCAAATTTTCCTCACAATTAATTGCACAATCCGTATTCTGCGTGTCATCCCTACAATCCTCTTTAGGTTGAAACGGCAGTGGCCTCGAGATCTTTTGTAAATATGTCATCGGAGTTCTGGCAATGGTCAGCTTCTCCATTCAAGTAATGAGCGTCTGTGGCTTTAGTGCCCTCTATCAGTCTTCACTGGACTCCCATCCAGGTAACGTGGCTGAGTGAGAAGCGTTGAGATCTCTTAATGTCTTGCCTTGCCCTTCAGACTCGCAGCTCCCTCGAGTGACTGTAAATATTGTAAAAAAAACATGAATGTGTTTTTATGAATTTCATATTTTAATTTAATGTCGTTTCAATTTTCATTTCTTTTGTTTATATTACAGATTTTCACATATCTCTAATACTTAACTCCCTTAAGTGAGGAAAAATTTATTATTTCATAATAAAAACAAGTTATTAAGAGAGGAGACAAATCCTGGAGAGAGGTGGAGATATTCGTCCAAACATCCTTGGAAAATGCTTGGGTGGTTCAATATCCGTGGGAAAGATGGTTTTTAGTTAAAAGTAATAATACATCAAGCATATACTAATTATAAACTTGTGGGACAAACGTCAGATCCTTCCGGAAGGATGTCATCGAGCCTGGCCAGTTAAAGGGTGGTCATCTAATTTATCTACAACTGATGGTCATGTGTGACAAATTGATATGGCCTAACTTGACTTTGACAAACAATAAATGTTGCCACATGACCGAATGCGCTGGTCCAATTCCTGGTTAGGAATATAACTTATACAGTATTGGGTAGAAAAATCAGTAATAATATTCAGTCTTATATTCCTATATAATACATTCCTATCCTATACCTAAATGAACATCCCATCACCTCCAGCTCCTCATTCAAAAGCATAGGCATTTTCATATACCAAATCCTTTATTGTAATCACCATATTGCTCACATCTCCAGACGGTCGATTGATACCTTGAAACTATTCCATCGCTTCCGCCATCTCCTACCCATACCCACACGTAAACTTCTAATATCTTCCCTCATCTTGATTACGGCTGCGTGGTGTACGGTTGCCTCTCCGTGAAACTTGGAGACAGAATGAAAAGAGTTATGAATGCCTTCGTAAGATATGTCACTGGAATCTCGAGACCGCGTTTCTATGCTGAGTTAGAGTGGCTCCCTCCTACCGAAGGCAATATTTCCTAGGCACATTCCTTTACCAAATAATCAATAATCATCGTCCGACCTACAATTCAAGACATTAATCCATACCCTCTCCACAAGATCACGTTCTTCTGACCTTGACATCTCTTTCCACGGATCTGCCTCATTTAAAATTCGTTTTTTGTCCGTTCCACTGCATTCTGGAATTCCATCCCACCAAAAATCCGCCATGCGCCATCCTTATCCACATTTAAAACTCTCTTATTCCAATTCCTCTTCACAATTCAATCAGATGCTGAAGACTAAGTATATATTATGTAACAAGGTTTTAATTTTATTTATACATATTTTTTTTTCTTTTGAGTATGAAACAGAATTTCGATCACCTTTCACAAAGCATTGTGAGTAGGTATAATATTTTTTTTTCTTACCTTCTACCTTTTCTATTGAGATACATAGATTGTGATTTTAGAATATAACTTGCGAGAAAAAATATTACCTGACCTAGAAACCCTAGACTGGAATGGAATATATGCCAGATGGCATTCCTGTCAAATTAATAAAAATATATCTACCTGAAATCCTCCCAGCTCTCCTTTTTATCTACAATTTCTCCCTTCAGAATTCAGTATTCCCTACCTCTTGGAAAAAAGCCATTGTCCTTCCTTTAAATAAAAAGCCTAATCCATCTTCACCCGAAGATTTCCGTCCAATTTCAATTCTTTCTAACCTCTCAAAGCCTCTTGAAAGACTGGTGCAATCCCAAGTCTCCAAGTTCCTCGAAAAGTCCAACCAATTTGATCCTCCCCAATCTGGTTTCCGTCCCGGCTATTCCACACAATCTGCCTTAATTAAAATTACCAATGACATTCAATCTGCAATAGATGACAGAAAATTAACTGTCCTTATTCTTCTAGACTTCTCTAAAGCTTTCGATTCCATCAACCATTCCATCCTCTTCAACAAACTAAAATCATTATCTTTCTCCAATAGTTCCATCTCCTGGTTCCAATCTTTCCTCTCCCAACGCACCCAAGCAGTCTCCATACCCAACCAACCACTATCTGCTTTCCTTTCTTTATCCTCTGGAGTTGCCCAGGGTTCAAGCATATCTCCTCTCCTTTTCAGCTCCTACATTAACGACCTACCTAAATCAATTCTCCATTGTTCCCATCACCTTTATGCAGATGATTCCCAGATCTACCTATCCTTTTCTCCCTCTGAGTTACTGGGGGCATTTGCCAAGATTCAAGAAGACCTTGATCGAATCAATGCCTGGGCAAATGTAAATGGATTAAAGTTAAATGCTGCCAAAACTCAGGCCATTGTCATTGGTTCCAAGCCCCTCATTAGATCCCATACTGACTTTCCCATATTACACCTTAATGACCAGCCAATTTCCTTCTATTCCTCTGTTAAAAAATTAGGATTTTTCATAGATCAAACCCTCTCCTGGACCTACCATATTTCTCACATTTCCCGTCGGACAATTTCTACCCTTAAACTATTTCATCGGTTCCGCCATCTCCTACCTCAACATACCCGTAGACTCCTAATTTCCTCTCTCATCTACCCCCACTTTGACTACAGCTGTGTGGTGTATGATGGCCTCTCGGTGGACCTCCGTGATAGACTGAAAAGATTAATGAATAGCTGCGTAAGATTTGTTATTGGTGCCCCGAGGTACTCCCATGTCTCTCACCACTACACTGAGTTAAGGTGGCTCTTCCCTTCCTTCCGAAGACAATACTTTCTAGGTACGTTCCTCTACCAAATCATCAACAACCATCGTCCTTCTTACGCCTACAACCTTCTCCGGTTCAAATCCTCAATCCATTCCCTGTCCACAAGATCTCGACCTTCTGACCTTTACGTGCCTTCTCACAGATCTGCCTCATTCCAAAATTCCTTTATTGTTCGCTCTGTCAATTTCATGAATTCCCTCCCTATCAAAATTCGACATTCCCCCTCCATATCCACATTCAAATCCCTCCTATTCCAATTCCTATCACAAAAACAGTCAGATACTTGCTAACCATGCGAGCGGATTTTAATAGAGAATTTGATACATTTTTATTTTTTAATTCTTTATTTTTTTCGGAAAAGTGTATACTGATCTATAAAAGCAAATAACTTTAAGTTTCTTGTCATAGTATTAATGGTTTTGTATATAGTTTAGTTTGTTTTGTATATAGAATTTTTACCTTATATTTTTTTTACATTATTTCTTTTTTTCGATTTATTTTATTTTGGCCAGATGTAATATTTTAATTTTGTTCTATTTTGTTATTCTCAAGGGACTGTGTCCCAGAATAAAGTTATTTTTCTATTTCTATTTCTATTTCTAAAGGTGTGTTTAGACATTTCACAAACTATGAGAAACAAAAATATTTAAATTGCTTTTCCATATCCTAGCACTTCTGCTGTTTTCCAAGGAAATAAACATTAAAACTTATATATATATCTGTTTTTCAGATGAGGAACTACCTTTACGCAATTAATAAAAAACAGTTTAACGATCCGCTAAAAAAGTATCCGTCATACACGATACTTCAAAAGTCTCTCCAGTTACGAACTGCAAACAAGTTTCTCGAAAAAACAATAGAAGCCCTTAAAAGGAAGGATATAGAAACTGTGAGATGCGATTGGGTTCCAGAGAACCAGAGTGACGGACCGATCAGCGACGTTGATCGCGAATTGATGAAGTTCGAGTCGCGCTTCATACCACACCGATCGATGGCTCATATGAACCAATTCAAGAGTCCTGTACCCGGCATCCGTTTTAAGGAAGAAGGAGGCAAGTCGATACAATAATTATAATTTATAACTCAGGAAAAAGTAGAAGGTGTCAGGCTGATATTATTATGAAAATAAATAAGTATAGGTAATAACTATAGATATACACTTGCAATAAATAAACACATGTGTTAAACACACATGGGGAAGGTCACAGTCAGCGGGTCACCGTTTTCAACCATTTTTTTTTATGATTCAAAGTTGAGCTTATGGGTTCCACTAAAATCTCGAATTCCTCTGGCGTTCAATCCTTGCAATCCAAAATCCTCGATTCTACTTACTCTGTTACAAATAAAATCACCCATAATTAACCGTCCATTTTGATTAATATCATTCCATACCAAGTAAAACCCATCAGCCCCTTGTTTCCTATCTCATCCTTCCCTCCGCTGTAATTATGGTTGGCTTGAGAACAAATTGAAGAGACTAATGAATTGTTTCATGAGATTCATCTTTGGAGTCTCAGGTGCTCCCACGTCATCGGTTGCTATGCCAAGTTGCTACACCCATGTATATTCCTTGTCATACAACGGCTTGTTTAAAAAAATCTTTTATAATGTGTGTTACCATGTTTTGGAATTCCTTACGTACTTCTATACATAAAGCAACCAATGTTCCGAATAAGATTGTCTTATGTTAGAGCTATCAGCCTCATTTTACGGTAGGCTTATATATACATATATATATATATATATATATATACATATATTCCTTACGTACGTAAATTCCTTACGTACTTCTATACATAAAGCAACCAATGTTCCGAATAAGATTGTCTTATGTTAGAGCTATCAGCCTCATTTTACGGTAGGCTTATATATACATATATATATATATATATATATATATATATATATATATATATATATATATATATATATACACATATGTATATATGTATATATAGCTAATTTGTACAAACTTTATACGTTTACTTGTGATTCTTGTTTAATTTATTTATTTATAGGGTATGTAACTTAATTATTTATTGATTGCCTTCTAATGCCAGATACTTCATTGTTCATTATGATTGTTCTTAGGTGATTACTTACCCAGAATAAAATTTACTTTTCGTTCTTTAATAATTACCTACCCATTACAATAAAAGGGTATTTGAAAATATTTTAACTTATTTGTTCAGCTAATTTATTTTATTCTCGTAAATTTCATTAAATAATATCCACATCTCATAATAAAAATCATCATATTATTATATTATATTATACCTCAATTATTCACCGATAAGATTATATGTTACAATCATGATTCCGTTCGATATATTTTGTTTTTAGATTTCAATTTGCTTCTTCCATTGGGCGATCTAAAAAGAAGTGTTGATGGAAAGAGCGAATTAAATCCAAGAATTACCATCCTTGATCATGGTAAAGAGCCAACAAATGCCAAAATTACAGGTATGATTTTGAAATATTAGAAAAATTTTAATTTCTAATACATTACAGAGGAGTAGGGGGCTTTCGGGCTGAATGCCCCCCCTCCAAAAAATGGTAAAATATAACCCTACTTTATGGAAAAAAATATTAAATAATTATCACTTAAAGTATTATTGTTCGTGTAATTACATTTAATAGGACTTCAAGTGTAACTTAAACACTATTACATTTAAGTCGTTAGTTTCTTTTCTTTTTTTCCAAAGTAATTATCGTTATATATATGAAAAAAAAACTTATCGGGCTGAAGCCCCTCCCCCAAAATTAAATCCTGGATCCGCTAATCATATACATATTGATGTTTTAAATCGTTGATTAAACGTTGATGCATTCACGCATTATTCTTATCTAAATACCCCAATGTATTAATTAATACATTAAGGTTAATATATTAATCAATGAATAGATTAATCTTCACATAAATTATTCCTTTAATCGAGTCCTAATATTATACACTTAATATACATGCAGGTAAACAATATTACTTTTATAACCTCCACACCATAAAAAAATCAACAATAAGTTTTGAAATTCAATATATGCCAACAGATTCTTCCAGATCCTTATTTCACGGAGTTCGGTAATGATTTTTTTTTATTATTATTTTATTTATTTATTTTTTTGTATATTAATATTAAATTTAATACATTTATATTTTCTGTGAATATGGTGTGAACGAACTCATTTAACACTATTATCAACGTCCATAATTGAAAGTATGTAATATTAATCAATTATATAATATATAAATAATGTAAAATATACTAGACCAATATTCAACAATCCATAGTATGGTCAGCCTAAATATATATATATATATATATATATATATATAGACATGTGGGTGCAATAGTAAGGCAAAATCATATGTTTTCTTTCCGAAGAAGGAATCTTAAAAAATATCTGAACCTCTCACGCAGCACTCCCTATCTCCTTTTTTTCCTTTTACCATTTTTTTTTTTCTCCCCTCTTTTTCCTTTTTACGTAACGTGCGAACTTTAAATAACTAAACTTTAATAACAATAAACAACTTTTAACGTTAACGTGCATTTTACATTTTTTTAATTTTATCCAATTCTTGATGTTTCTAACCAAAAGATATAATAATATATAATTTTAATTAACGGCGTTGATGACCAACAGGTTTTACGCCTTTACTTTACAACCAATCAGTCAATAGGAAGACATAACATATTATTATTACTTTTTTTTTTAAATTATTTTATTGCATATTTGTTTAATTTTGTTTTTAAAGTTATTAAATTCAATATTTTTTATTTATATTGTCCTACAGTTGTCTATTATTTATTTATTAATTTTTTTATTCTATTTTGTTTGTGTCTTTATTATACAGCATAGGCGTGTCCTCCTCTGTCATTTTCAAAAAGTTGAGAAACAAATTTGTCTGTAAAATGGCTTCAATTTAAACTAATTCTAATGATTTTTTTCCTCATGATTCAAACTGAACATTATAATCATCAGAAACGGTCTGAGTTGAACTTATAAAACTAAAATAAAAAATTAATATAAAGAACGTATAATAGTATTGACCTACATAAGAATCATGTAACTTCTTCAAATGATAATTTCAATTGGTGTAGTAATTATAAAATTTTCGATTAATCAATAAAAAAAAAATACTTGTCTACCTTCGGTAGTGAGGAAGCAAAAGGAAATGGCCTTTTCTGAAGAGAAAGCAGTAAATGTTTAAAACTCTATAACTGTGCAACGAACCGTCCGATTTCGATGACATCTGTTTTAATTTGTCGGCAAATCAGGAATATTTCAAATATATGTGGGTATTATCGGTCAAAACTTTTTTAGTTATCGTAAAATAAAATATTCAATCCATCGTAACATTTTTCAGCTTGTTTTCGGGAAAGTATGTTACACACATAAATGAAAAGGATTTCAAGGGGAAGACTTTAACCAAGTTTCGTTAAAATCGGTAAAGCCGTTTTGGCGCTACAGCTTATAGCGACACATTTTTTTGCAGCTTTGAACAGAAAAACATTTACATTTTAATTTTTTTTTGCATATATAAAATTATCGTAAGACAGAAGTAATATGCCAGAAACCTTCCCAGGAGTGTACGGAACAACTTCCCAAAGTTTCATGGAGATCGGATTAATGGTTTAGTAATGCACCAAGGACAAACAGACGGACAGACAGACATACATTCATTTATATATATATTTATATATATATAATATATATATATATATATATATATATATATATATATATAGAAGATAATAAAGAACAGAGTTGTTTCATTCGTTTCATTCATTCATTTCATTCTTTTACCTCTTTTACTATCAAAATATTTCGAACACGGTTTGAATGAAAGGTAATAATGGTGGCTTCCATATAATAATATTGATAACGATATAAATTCCATTATCATAATTTATTTCTTATTTACCGCTTAAGCATTGCGAATTGTAACAAAAATTTGCAATCATAAAACAAAAAAAAATCGCATACATATCTGTGCGATATATGACTAATAACTAATTAATAAGTTTAATTTTTTGAATTAGTTCCTACAACAGATCTACAAGGGAACATCATTGATCAGTCGGTGATTTCTGTAACAGTAAGATCACAGGGTGCATCAGATGAAACCGATGAGTCATGCATAAGGCTGGGAGAACATAAAATAGGTAAAGACCGAATTGGATTTAATTGTATACAATTTATAACACTAATATATTTAAATCATAACATAAATCATTTTTAATATGTTAAGTATTTTGATAGTAGTATCGCCTAAACGAAATACCAAAATAGTCAGTATTACAACAAACTTAGTTTTGGTCTTGATCTTGCAGTCTCGCAATACCTATTAGACATATGCTATTTATTAAACACGTTTACAACAACGAAACGGGACTGATGTATTTTGAGCTATTTTGATGTACACATACAATTAAATCGACGATACTTTAAAATTCAAATCTTGTATGATCAGTCTTTGTGAACGAGACCAAGACAGTTTTTTTGTAGCAGTAATGAGCAGAGAGCCGGTATGTAACTAGGATTGTTGGCAAGAAATACAAGTTTAATTATTTCTATGTTTCTTTCACTTCTCCGTTCCAATAAAAGTCTAAGACTTTATAGGGTCGTTACAAAATTTCAGTCACATTATGTATCAACTCTTTCGATAAAGAAAAAAAATAGAGAAACAGAGTGCTTTTCGACAAAACTTTAATGTTGTTTTAGGAAATTATTAGTGTGAGCATATATCATCATCAGCATAGATACGTCATATTGAAAAAAAATATTATTATATTATTTATTATAAAATATATTATTTTTACCCTTAGAGTATGGGGCCCATACTATGGGCTCTGTTAACACCAGATTATAATAATTTAATTTTATTAATTTTGTGTAAATAATTTTATTGATTAGTTTCTCAGTCTAGATTTAAAAAAAAAAATCAATACACTCTAATATTGTTATTCAAAAACTTTTTTTACCTCACCCAATTTTGTCAAACTATAATTTCTGTTAAAAGTCGAGAGAAAACTTGTGTGATGCGGATTTTCGTAATTTCAGTTACTTTTCTTTTTTTTTCTCTCATTCACCGCTTAGACCCGTCTGCTACATACGAAATTTTATAGCTTTAAATTCATTAATAGTTGTCCGACATGAACGATTTTTATATAGTTTTGTAGAGAATTTCGTTACCTTTAAAAAAAAAACAGATTTCAGAGGGCTCTGAAACGATCCGTCGAAAATCGCATGTTGGAAATTCGAACCAATCGCAATACTTTACTTACCTAGTATAGGTAGTAATAAATTAAAACATGTGTAGAAAATAAAACACGCTGTATCATTGCTAATTCGATTCCGATGATATTTTTTTGTTGTTGTTTCGTAGGTAATTTAATTATCTTTTAAAAGTTTTGATATAACTTTTAACGCAGAATACACACTTCGTGAGTTAGGCTCAAAAACACTTTTATTATAACTTTTTTCCTGTATTTTCTCAATATTTAAGTAAATGTACAAAAATTGAAAGGACATCAATTTGAAAGTTATAGGAAAGTTTCATCAAAATCGTAAGAGCCGTTTTAGCGCTCCAGTCTAAAAAAAAAATAAGTTTTTCACTTAAAATCTTGGCACAGACAGATAGATGCTGAAAATGTGTTTTTCGGACTCAGGGGATTCTGAAACGTATGTATCCGTCGAAAACCGCATGTCAGAAATTTGATCCGATCGCAATACCTCCTTACCTAATATAGGTAGGAAAGTAAAAAGTTATTATAAATGTATGTCCGTTAACTCTAGGTTAGGAGATATCCGCGTCGAAAGATTTACATTGCAAAGAATTATTTAAACTACAATAAATAAATATGTGTTCCAACAACTTCATTAATTCACCTTCATTAAGTCAATATGTTATGGTTCAATTAGAGAAAGAAGGTCATGTTAATATTATATATTATCTATCTAATATCTCCGAAGTTATTAACGGAAATAACTTTATAGGAATTTTTGTTCTTATTTTGAGATCCTTTATTCATATTTTCAGTTAGGACACTTAACACCCTGTATAATAAATTGTTATTCTTCAATCATTATAAATTAATCAACATAGGGAAATTAACAACAATAAAATAATTCTCGTCTGGAAGAATTTTGACATTTTTTTAGCAATGAATTTATTGTTCAATTTGAAAAATAAAAGTCAACAGATGTGGGGTTCCCTTTGCCCCCAGACGTGAGTGGGCACACTTGGGAATTCTATGGATTTGCAGTAGTATTAATTTGTAGTAAATGTTTGTTACATTAATTTGAATAACATTCTGAATACTTTTCAGTTTTACATAACTAAAAGAAAAAAAAAAAAAAAACTGCGTAATATCGCATGTCTTATATTTAAATATAGTGTTATAAGGTTATATCCATAAACTAATCAATTGTTCCAAAATTTTTTACTTATTAATCAGGTAATGTAATAAATAAATACTTCATTCAGGCAAGACTCCGTCTAAAACAGCCTTTGATGAAAAACACCTACTTCTTGAACAAACAAGAATGACAAAAAGCGAAATATCACAGGAAGATGTAAAAAGTAGTCTCACGTTCGGTATACCAACTACATCAGCATCCATATTCCAAAAGAAAGGTAAGGTAATATTGAATAGTTATTATTAAACCATGTATAAGTCTACAAAAATCATATTGTCGTAATATAAACACACGATTCACATAAAGCAAAAAAAAAACAAACAAATTTATCAAACAAATAATTTATGGTTCAATTTAATGAATAGGTTTAACGTGATATTGGATACTCTGATGATAAAAGGACGATTATACGGATAGTTACTTTTATAATTATTGTTTAAAAATTACACATAAAAAAAAAATATCGGAAAAGCTGTGACTAAATGCCTGCAAAAGAAAATAAAGATATGAAATACATTCGGGTGTGAAAAAAATAAATGATCATGCAGTTATTCTTGGAGCTATTCTTTTATCTTTACATGACCAGCTAAACTTTTGTAGATTTCCTAGAAACACTGAAATTCGATCTGATTTCTTCAGATTTCGAGAGCAGGAATTAAATATACAACCACAGAGGATGGTTAAGATGAAAAATCAACATTTAAGGCCTAGAAGAGGGTGAAATAGCACAAGAGTTATGAAGAGGACAGATTTTTATGAGTACTATAATTTTTTTTTAGAGAACCAGACAATAAGGGGTCTAAATTTTGGAATATTTTCAAGGGAACAAAAGATAAAATGTAACAGATTAAACAGCAAGTGGAATTATAACTGAACGAAAATTTTTGTATTTCTGATTTCTTTACGCCATTTTCAAGGAGAGATCACTGAAACTTCTTGGGAGAATGACAATTCGCCCTTGTGTGTTGGGCACCCCGACTTTGAGGTGAGAAATTTGAGAATCAGGTGTGCCCATCACCTCTGACAATTCCCTTTCCAAAGAAATTCTATTTTTTCTATTCATATTATTAAAAAAAAAAAACTGAAAACGGGAGTAGAATTAGAAAAATTGCAGTTAATATACAACTATACTAGCTGTGTAATTGCCTGGTTCAAGTATTTTCCCATGTTCCAAGTTTGGAAAATTTCCCGACATTGAAACCTATACAAATATGGTTCCTCAAAAATTTATAGCTCCGTAGAAAAGTGACATAGATTAAGACTCATAATTCAATAAAAATGTGCCTCCCTTGGAAATTTATAACCTTTCAAAAATGTGCTCTCTCAAAATTGTTTTCTAAAAATGCCACCCTTTCCTGTGCATCAATATTGAAAATTTCAAAACGCTTTTGGGAGAAACCCAGAAAGACTGACACTGAGCTTAAAAAATGCGTTTTTTAAAGTATTTCTTCTTAGAGATATAAAGAAATTAGTCAATGGTTCATCATGTACTCCAATCACCACAATAAATTTCTATTTCCGTTCTAGCCGCATTCCATATTTCGTTTAGTACCACTTTAGTTAACTTTATTGTTCATTAATACGATTGTGGTATCTAAATACCTCAGATAAAACATGCAATTATATGATATTTTTTTTCTAATGAGCAGTGATCGTCAAAGACTTGATGTATGGCAATATTGAAGAATCCTTCAAGAGTGAGAGCTTACCGAATGAGTCGCTATTGAGCCAGGTCATCAGAGAGGACGCCAGTTGTTTGGGTATAATATTAGACTATTATAATACTGTTATTAAAATCTAAGACTCCTTTCTACTTTAACCACACCAGTGAATATTTTTAAGTGTTTTTGCATTTGGATTAAAATATCTCAGAAACTGATAATCGGATCTGCATACTGTAAGCGAGAGAAATGTTCAGTATTTCATCCCCTTTATAATGAGCTATTATTCAAAATCGCACCTTAATGTGTTAGAGAGGTGAAAAGGGAAAAAGATAGTGGCACTGGTGCGCATTCTATTCAGAATTTCCTCTCCATCTCTCCTCAGCAAACAACTGGTACTTAAGTACGTCGGTTACCATTTTAATTTGATGCACTTTGTCTATGTTTTATAAAGTTTGTTATTATATAACCAATTAACATTTTTCTTTTATCTTTCCTGAGTACTCTCTAGTATAAATTTGAGGGCTAATATCCATTGGTTTTATTTAATTATTCCATAAAGTTTGTGGATTTTCTCCCACAAGGGTTTTCTTCACAATAGCCTTAGCCCACTGATTATACGAGGCTCAGTAGTTGACCCTCCGACACTTACACCTAAACTTCGCTTATTCAAATCCCTTAGCCTTATTGAATTCCTTCCTCCCATAAAGAAAAATCTGGTGCGGTGTATTGAGTCATCACTCAATTTTTACTTACCAACCTCTTCTTAGCAGAAATAAGTATTTTCTGTCAGTAAATTAGACAATAAACATTTTTTTCATAACTCTTAATTTACTTTACTTTATAGGCGTTCCATCTAAGGGTTTCCTCACAAAGTCAGTGTAGAGCTCCACGCGCTTCTATCTCGCCAATCATCTTTCTCCAGACCTTGATCCGCAATTTCCTCCTGGACCCTCTCCATCCACGTGCTTCTCTGCTCCACGTCCTCTCTTTCCTGGCGGAACCCAGTGCAGCACTCGGCTTGGCCAATATTCCTCAGTCATTCTTCTCACATGCCCATACCATCTTAGGCATCATGCCTCGATCTTTTCATTAACCGCTGTACCCACATCCATTCTCTGTCGAGCTACCTCATTCTTAATTTTATCCAATCAGGTAAGACGGAGACACCTTCTCCAGTAGTCCATCTCGACCGCCTGCACCTTTGAGTACAAACGGGAGATCATAGCCTATGTAAGAATAGCTTCCAGTAAAGCAGTGAATATTCTGCGCTTGTTCTCAGTGGAAAGCTGTCTGTTCCAGAGAACTGGATGTAGGATTCGGGTAGCCTTGCGGGCTTGCTCCACCTTCCTCCTGATGTCATGTTCAGAATTGTTTTTCAGAAATAAAAAAAATAAATAAATTAAACTATATATAACAAGTTGCAAAATTAGTTTGGCAGAAACAGCCTTAAAAAAACATACCAAAATCCTTAATTAAAAATTATGGAAACCAGAACTTTTAATTTTGCCTAAACTGTTGGAATATATGTGTTAACTATGTCCTACATTGAAAATATAAGAAATTTGCATCATCAGAACACCTCCAAAAAAGAGGTTTTTGCCGTTCACAGACCATTGTGTGATCCAGTAGTTATATTTTTTTCTATAAAAAAACAGTTACCTGTAACAGTATTATTATTATATTATTTCTTTGCTTTACAGCATTATCAAAAACAAGTTTTGGAGAAAGGATAGAGAACTTCGGGAGTGTTGCACCATCACAGGAACTACCCCCTTTGCCACCGTACATGGTGAATGCATACATGCAGTTGTTAGTCGACACCAGAACATTGTCCAAACATTACAAACAGCAAAACGGTCAGTTCTTTAAGTTTTTCAAGTTATACTAGAAAATAGTAATGTTAGTATTACACTTAAAATTATTATAATTTAGGAAAAAGTTAATCAAAATATGTAGTCAATCGGTTTAGTTTTGTTTGTACATTAATTTAGCAGGTAAAAAAAACAATCGATATATCGTTATTGAAAGTTTAATTAATGAAACCATTAATTCCCCTTCTCCAAAAAAATGAATAAGCAAATTTAAAATATAACAGTTTATTTTTTTTTATTAGTAACAAGTGTTTTTCTTGATTTACAATAAAAATGTAATTAATCAAACATTATAATTACATTTTTATTTTTTTTATGTCCAACAATTTAATTAATTTCCCTATAGGTCTTAGCAATAATTCATTTTAATAATATGTTAATATATGTATATATATATATATATATATATATATATATATATATATATATATATATATATAACATATGAACTGTTGAAAATCGATGTAAATTTTAGCATTTTTATATATATATATCTAAAAATGCTAAAATTTACATCGATTTTCAACAGTTAATTAAATTAAACGTTCCATTCTTATAACTTTTTTAATTTTTATAAAACATGATTGATTTTTTTTCTAATCCTAATAATGAATTTTTTAATAGAAACTATGTTAAATAAAATTATAAATTTATTAATACAGTTAACAAATCGATATTATTTTATGATAAAAAAATGTATAAATATTTAGTTTTTTCTATAAAGATACAACAAATCTGAGATTTCAATTCAAAGTTAATCCTGTTTACCTACATTCAAAGATTAAATACCTCAACATTTTTAAATAATATTTTAATATATATATATATATATATATATATATATATATATATATATATATATATATATATATATATATATATGATAACTGCAACCTTATTGTATCAAAATGTAATTTTTTTTATTGGTTCATAATGTAAAAGTTGATTAACATAATATCAATTTTGTGACGTATTAAAATAAATATCCAATTATAATTTGTTTTTATTATTTTTTTTGTTTAGAATGCAAAAGAAAATGCAGAATGAAACGAGAACTGAAAATGCATAATTTGCAAAAATATTTGTAATATATACAATATAAATAAATATTCCTAATTTTCCACATCTTTCAATTCATCGACATCGTAGTGGTCGCTTACTCGAGGAAATACATTGGAAATTATCCTACATTAGGTTTTTTTTCTCATAAACTAGGTATATTATTTTTATTATATTAAAGACAGACATTCATGAATCTAAAAACGTAAATCGTAAATAATTTACTTTCTAGTATAATTATTTATTAAAAAGTGGGCATGATTTTACGAAAGTTTAGAAAAATTATTATAAAATTTATGTTGTTTTGGATTTTTCTTGCCATGAAATGCTATATTTGAAAAATCGAATTTTGCCTAAAATAAAAGTTGTAAGACCGCTTTAATAAAATCATTGGAGGCTCCCACCAGACTGTGAGAGAAGCTTTTCCAGCAGTGTTAAGTACTGCAAGAAAAGTTGGGCTCCAGGTGAACCAGAAGAAAAACAAATACATGGTGACCGGAAATACTTCTGGGCGCAATTAGATAGTGACAATCGGGTACTACCGATTTGAGCAAGTCACCGAATTTATTTATCTAATATGGTAACTCAGGACAACAGCGGAGAAAGGGAAATCAGAAGAGAGGTAATTTCTGCTAATCATTGCTAGCACAGCCTGAGGAACTATTCCACTAGCCACATTCTCTCCTGCCAAACTAAATTACAACTATACAAAACCATAAACCACCCAGTGCTAATATACGGCTCAGAAATCTGGACCAAGCGTAATGAACGGATCCTCCATGTCTTCGAGAGGAAAATCCTTCCAAGGATATTTGGAGGAATGTTGGTGATTGGAATCTAGAGGGGACGCACAAATCAGAAGGTTTATTTATTAAGATCCCCCTCTCTTGCTACCATACCTCCATTCTATTCAAGCGATCTCTTCGATCAGATTGGTTGTCTATCCTATCTTAGTTTTCTCCTTATTTCCTCTTAATCACTCTATTTTCCATATCTCCATCTCCACTTTGTATATATTGATACATTTGCTCATTTTTTTTTTAAATTTATTTTAACTCTTATACGTAGTCAGTACATTTTGATAGACTTTACAATATCTCAATTTTCTATTTAACTATTCTATTTACATCTCAATTTTTCTATTTATATTTATTTCTTATATAACTTCATATTCATATTCCTTTTCTCTGTTTTGCATCTTATTCTAAGATTACCATTTTAGTACTAATGTTATCTTATTTTGATTATAAACGAACAAGATGGTTCGGGGTTGCGGTCATAAATAGGCTAAATAGTTTTACCACTATTTAGCCTATTTATGACCGCCACCCCGGACCATCTTCTTCGTTTATAATGCAACGGTCAACTGTTAAATATTCATTATTTTGATTATGTTTACTTCCACACTTTGTAATCATTATTATTATTATTTCTTATTTCTTGTTATAGTCATTATTCTACCTACTTTATTTTACTTTAACGTTCACTCTATTTACTTCATTTTACTTTAATTTTTATTACCTACATTCTTTATGTTTCTTATACCTATTTTTACCTGGTTCTTTTCTCATCCCTGCTAAAGGCCTGAACTTCAGGTCGAAACGTCGGCAAATGTTAAAATAAATGTTATTATTTATTTTTGCCATTTTTATTTTGACTGATCGCCCCAACCATCCTTCTCTTCAGGAGGTGTATGGTTTATTTAAAACTTAAATATTGTCAAACTAAACACATAAAGCCTCTGGTGTCTTTTTAGTCGTGTAATAAAGACCATAGTCATGGGCCTAAAATTACCTAAAAAACCGATATCCATATTCTGTTTGTAGGGAATTAAATCACCTTTCCAATGATTAATCAGGATTAAGTGTCCTAAATATTTCTTGCGAAGGTATGTCCGTTTTGTTCAGGAAATATTGGAGAGATAAGATAGAACATTAACATGACCTTGTTTCCCTAACGGAGCTTAAAATATTGACAATGTAAATATTAATGCTGTTCGAAATCAGTTAAATTGAGTCATTCATAGACTATTCATCATGCCTTATACTAACGATGAATATGCCGATCTGATAGCATTAGATTTTTACTTTCACTTACCTATGTATGAAGTATATAATAAAGGAAATTATTGCGATTGTAAAAATTATCAAATCTCAGTTTTCAACGGAAATATTCTTTAAGAGATCTCCCTCAGTCCAAATAACCAAATCCCGCAAAATGGGCTGTGTGTGTGTGTGTGTGTATTAACAGTCTAGATCCACAACGAAAAGTCGTACGCAAGTGAAATTGCATATTTGAGGTTTCTATATGATTGGGATGTTACAGTAACTTTTTCGTCTAAATCGGCTAACCGTAAGTGTCACTTTATTTAATGGACTAAACAAATGTTTGCGATTTTCTTGAAAACGACTCCGATTTTGATTAAATTCATCATATAAAGTGTAAAATGAAGCCGTTTTAAATAAAATGTAGTTTTTATTCTGATTGATGTTCTCTAACAGGGCTTAAATGGCTAATTTTCAATATCAGCTTCCTCTAAAGTACCTCGCCCGAAAGATTAGAACACGCTTCCATACGTAACATGAGCTTAATATAATTCGGACCCTGGCGGTATTCTATAAATATACAAATGTGGTTTTCATAAATGATATTGTTGGTATTATTTAATATATAATTGTGTAGATTACAAAGATATAAATATTAAAATTTGTATATATTAGGGTATTTATACCAATAAAAATACCCATAATGAAATATAAATAAATATAGCTTCTATAATTTTTACTTTCTCTTCCCCTTTATCTGAAAATACTTATTTCTGCTAAGAAGAGGGTGGTAAGTGAAAGTTCTGTGACGCACCGCACCAGATTTTTTTTTTTTTGTACGAAAATATGTATAACATACCAATATGTATACAATATAGATGTCTTTTAATAGGTATATCAACGAGCATGATTCCTTGATTTTTGGCCTGAGATGGTCTTATCATTAAACTGATAGTACGAAACGTAATAAAATATCAGGAAGCTTTACATTGAATTGAACTGAGAAAAACAGATTCAGAAAGGTAGACTGAAATCTAGGTATGTCGACAAACAGAACTAAAAATTAGTAGAAAATATGTTAACTGTAGAAATGCTATTAGTACAAAAAAGAAGAAGAGCTTTCTCTTAGCAAGGAGATTGCCGATGTAGGTAATTGCATTGCAAACCACATCACATGTGGGAGCAGAATAAATACCGCTCCTCAGAAAAACATAGATTGGATCAAAAAAACGTTCGAGAAGTGGAAAAGAAGAAGGTGAAAGAAGTTATAAATTAACCAAAGGGCAAAAGGTTACGGACATAGGGAAAGTAACCACTGCAAGTATCTTTAATAATATACTCTTGCGGGTGTCTTTAAATGTTTCTCTTATATTATTTAATGTTGCACATATGTTGTAAACGTACAACTTAAAGCACTGTAAGACAAGTTCCTAAACTAGGCACTGAGCTCCTCGATGTCACCACAAATCCATCTTATCTTTCCTACATTCATCAATGGAATTCAGCGCATCCTTTATTCATCGATTAAATCACCGATGACCCAGTGGTTCCATTGGATTTAGGGATCGATGGATCAGAGGTTATATCTAACCTCACTATTACCTCTATGTCCTTATTTCCCAATTTATTATACCAATTTATATTCAGTTTGCTATCTATCTATATTTATTGAGATTCTATAATTCAGTAGCCGGTATATATTTCCTTACCTTTTTTTATTTTTCATGTGTTTTGTAACCTTCCAAGAATGTCAAGGTGTCGTTCCTAACCTCATCATAACGTTTACCGAGTCAATATTATAATTAAGTTATATTATAATTATAGTTAATATTATAATTTACTTATGATTAATGATAAATTTAAAGATGTTAGTTGTAAATAGTGCTAATAAAATAGGAAATAATTTAATTTAGTTTTTCTAACAACAAATAGTTCACTACTACAATAATCCTACCGGCTATTGCGTTCAATAAAATCAATAATAATAGTGATAAAATATAGTATTATTATATCTGCATATAGTATGTCATGATTATTTCATGAATAAATATAAATTAAAATAGATGCCAACAACGAATTTTCTCTCAAGAATCCCTAGTCAAAAAAGTACCCCTTAAGTAACAAATCAACACTTATTGCACTTTTATTTCATAATTATTGGCCTATGCGAATAATTCACAGATAATATTGGTCAATGAAAAAGTGCTAAGGAAATAAATAATACAACGTATCAAAAGATGAAGGAATCATTTCCTATTTCTTTAGTAATTTTAATGAATCAAGGAAAACAAATTATTATTATTTTTTTTATAAATAGAATGGATCAGACTTTATATATATGATGATGGTCAAGGGCCGAAACGTACATGTAAAATAATGGGAGAATCATGAGACAGGTGATCGAGAAAACGTGTACATTTATTAACTAATTATAAAACTTCCTTCATGTTTTAAACCAATAGGGCAAATCCCCTACAAAACAAAAGGGAAATAAACTTTATTTGCAAATAACTAGTGTTTCCCAAAATCGGTCTTGGCCTTGCACTTTGCAAGACCAATGCCGCCTAATTGTTGCAAGACCAAGACCAGGACAGGTAAAAAAAAGAGATTTTTTAAATTAAAATTAAGGCAAAATAGTTACTAATAATTGGTATAATCAATATACTTTTGCATTTAACTCCTCTAATTTTTCATTCGGGCTTAGTTAGGTTTCCCCTATCTAAACAAATACAGTGATATTTCTATAGTAGTAAGCTAATAAGTAAGTGCAAGACTATTGCGAGACTCTTGCGCAAGACCAAGACCATGACCAAGGCTGACTTTGCAAGACGAGGAGTCGTCTCGGTCTCGCATTTGGGCAACAACTACAAATAACTCAAAAAGTATAATGTTTTTACTTAATTTTTTTTTATTGTTTGAAAGATTACCATTTGGTAATCTTACAATCAAACAAAATTAAGTTAAAAAATTATACTTTTTGAGTTATTCACAAATAAAGTTTATTTCCCTTCATTACTTT